GTGATTGACCGTTAATCAATCAATTATTACCTATTTAATTAATAAAAAACGACCATTTTTTTAATTTTATAAAATTTCAACTATTTTTTATAATAAAAAAACCCTTAAAAATAGTCATTTACGTTTATATCTCAGTAATTGTTTACGTTACGAAGATGAAGAGCATATTATTAGAGGAATAGTCAGTGGCAGGGGCATATTTTTTAGAGGGTACAATTGAGGTTGAATTTTTTAATTTAATCCTTCATATTGACGTCTTCGGAAAAAAAAAACAAAAACAAAAAACCCTTCATATTGACGTCATTATCAAACGCCACATGCTTTTTTTTTTTTTTTGGCTAATCTATACCACATGCTTTTTTGCAACCCCCTAATAATATTCTCACGCGCTTTTGTCTCAATTGTCCGTAGTGTTTACTTGATTTTTCTTTTTTCATGCAAGCCTTTACTTCTTGACTCATATTATTTCCACAAGGCAACTCCTAGAAACACTGCTATTGACTATTTTGTCTGTTAGACTCTTAAGGCCAAAGAGGATCACTGGCCACATAAAAATATTCACAGTTCTGTTCCTTAAATATTTTAGAAACAAAATGACAGCAGTATAAATAATGTTCCCAAGCTCAAGCTCAATTATTCTCATCTTTTTTTTTTCTTTTGCTCAATTGTTACTATTGTGGGGAAAATGTGGAAGACGCGTGGAGAAATGACAATATGATACGTGACCTTAACCTCTCCTCGCAAAGCAACAACCCTCGATATCTGGGACTCTCTTCTATTCCGTCGCGAAGAGCCCAAATAAGAAGTCCAACTTAGGGCTTCGATTTTATCTGGCGTCGACAAGTCGTACCGTTGACCTTACAACACAGAAATCCCTCGTCATAAAATCCACCGCCAAGAAGGACAATTGAGCTAAACAACACTGGCGACAAGGAGAATGCTCCTTGGGGGAAAGCCTGACGTGGCAAGTTGTGTACAGTAATAAGAGATGTCTGCAATGCATGCATTAATTGCAAACCCTTAAACTGCCCCACGAGGGACAGAAAAGGGTTACAGGTACGCACAGACCATAATAGGAGACTAATTGGCTGAGTGAACAGTACTTCAAGTAATTAGTGGGCTACGTCTGGGTCTAAAAAGGAAGAACACTTGAGTGCTTATGCCTACAAAGAAAACCCACCCAGCGAAAGAAGCTCCAATATAAAAGAGACAAAGCCCCATACAGAAAGGGGGTTCACGTCCAAAAAAGAGAAAAAAGAACAAAAGAGAAATTGATATAAATTGTAATCACCTCAAAAAGAATATACAATCACAATAAATGTAATTCTGATTTTATAGAGTGAACCACTATAAAATCTCTTCTATTTTTTTACTTTAAAACATTAGTCTTTCAAGTTGCTCCTTCCTCTAAAAACATCAAACACTCTAAAAACATCAAACACCTTCAGCGCAAAACTTTTACATATAACCTATATTAAACTCGATAATCCGACAAAAAACTTAGACATAACCCGGCCTATTTTTTATTTCGAAAATTCACTGTCAACAGTTACCATCTGAAATCTGATGGTGAAGGCCTAATAGCTAGCAGCTCGGCCTAAAGGTAGAGTCGATTATAGCCAAAAGTTGCTTATTTAAAATAATAAAAAAAAAGGAACGTTAAGGATAAAAACAGTTATTTTTAATTATTGGTAGGAACTGCTAGGTCAATCGTTGAGTTAAAAACGGTATAATATAAGGTGTGTTTAGAATTCATTCTAAAATAATTTTATTTTTTTGTGTGAAAATAAAAATAAAAACGTTTTTAATCTCATACATAAATTATTTTTAAAAATGTGATTGGTAGTTTTATCAAGAGATTATTTTCATAAAAAAATCTATTAATATCTCTTTCTGAAAAAAGAGAAAACATAAATAAAAAATAAAAAATGACTAAAAATTATTTTTCATTTATTTCTTATTTTACACTAAATTAAAAAATCATTTTCATTTCCTTTTCTATCTTTAATTGTATTAAATTCTGTTTCTCTTCCCTTTTTATTTTATTTTCTTAAAAAACGTAAAAAAACAAAAATAAAAAACAACTCCAATCACATCCATAAATATCTACAATAAAATAGTTGCTATCAGACAATGTAGAACTGTCTTAATCATAAACTGGATCATTAAAAATTAAGCTAATCATTAAACAGTTTATATATCGGCAGTGAAAAAAACAGTTCTTACTCGAACTATAAAGTAGGTGAAAATACAAACTTCTCATGAAAATACCTTTTTTTTTTTTTTATAATTCATGGTAAGATAACAATAGTCTGGATCCTTTTTATAATTTCATAATTGGCTTTTTATTACGCCAGGTTTGATGTTTGGCACACAAAACACAACTATCACTTTAATAAACAATATATAAGGAGCAGTGTACCTATAATTTGACACCACAACCCTTTTAAAATACATTAACAAATGAAAAAACAAATTGTAAAATATGACCTTAAACACATTTTTTTAGAGTTTTATCATTTTATTATGATAGACTATCCTTTTAATAATAATTTATTAAATATCATATTATAATTTGTTAATTTTTAAATAATAATTTGTTAAATTATATCCGCTACCGGTGACATATGTTAAATTATTAATAATAATATGTTAAATTACTTATTTTAAAAGAATAAAATTTAATAAACTAATGTTAAGATAAAAATCATTAATGGTTCCATTTTAAGAGGTAGGCCTTAACAGACAGATATTATTGTTTAAAAGTTGCAAAATATCTTTCTTACCCACCAAAATCAATGTCATTCACAATAAGCACAAAAAAAAAAAAAAAGGTCAATGTCATCCACTAGTTTAGGTCTCCCTAATCAACATATAATAATTAAAGCATGAAAATCACATAATCACATATTATTTGTTGTCATACCACAGAAATTTATCACTTTAAACTAAACAATTCTCATTTTGCTTATACAATCTGTGATGTATATTATAGGTAAACAAAAATAAAATTGAACAGCTAAACACTATTATTAACTTCTCCTAATTGGACATCTTTGGACTTAAGAGGAACATAATCACCCAGATAAACCTCAAGATGCTCGGACAAAGATGACTTATCGATATTCTCGTGGTGATATGATTTGCAAATGAAGTAGATAATGGTTTGAATCACAAGACCAAAGAGAATCACCTTGAACAGCAACAAGAAGCAAACGATTCCAACCACAATTCTGACCGCCAAACCGCCGACAATTCCGATCACGACGAAGTGCTCGAAGATCAGCTCGATCACGACAAAGCAGAAGCCGATCAGAAGGAAGTACGCCACGGCGAGGCCTAATTTCCCCTTAATCAAGTCTCTGCTCTTCTTCATCGCTTTGATTCCGTAAGATTCTTCCAGAACCGAAATTACGCTCGCCAAATGCCAGACTATGCCAATGTAGACGAATCCGGCGAGGTAGGCGATGAGGAAAAGGATTCCGATCGCGATTCCGGCGGGGGAAATCCCTAGGAGGACGATACAGAGCACGAGGACTCCGATCGCAAGGACGTTGTAGACGAGGACGATCGCGAAGCTCCAGAGGAAGGTCACTGCAAGGCGTTTCCAGACTTTGGGGACGATCCTCATGACTTTGACGAAGGAGATCGGCTTGGCGGTGAAGATGCAGGCGATGGTGTAGACGACGGCGGAGGTGGAGAGGAGAGAGAAGACGAGGAGGAAGGTGAAGTAGGCGGCCTTGAAGAGCCAGAAGAAGGTCCATTCGGAGGAGATGGCGCGGCGAAGCTTGGCGTGGTCGCGGGAGTTGATGTCGGTATAGGAGAGGTCGTCTTCGTTGGTGATGATTTTGAAGAAGAGGAGTTGGGAGATCTCGAAGTGAGCGAGGAAGATGAAGGAGAGAGGGAGGATTAGGGCGAGAGTGATCTGGCTGAAGATTTTTCGCCATTGGAGGACGATCTTGAAGGATTGCTTGAAGGTTCCACAAAACCCAAGGAATTGAAGCTCGTGTTGTCCTCTGTCCATGGCGGCTTTCTTCTCCTTCTCCTTCTCCTTCTTGTTTTGCAGAGGAAATGAGCAAGGGCTGGCTGGCTGGCTGGCTTAGATGGGAGAACAGAGTGGACTGTTGAATTGTCTAAAAGGCCCTGGTCTTTGTCTGAATTTACGGGGGTCTGGATCGTGGAAAAAGAGATTATTCGTGACGTAACGCTCAAATTAAGAGTCAACTTAGTCAAGTTTAGTCAAGTTTTGTAAGAAAGAGAAAGAGTTTATTCGTGACGTAACGTTCAAATTAAGAGTCAACTTAGTCAAGTTTAGTCAAGTTTTGTAAGAAAGAGAGGCGGATGCAATAAGAAAATTGTGTTTGGTGTATTGTGTTTTTTTTCATTCCGCGTTGCAGACACCGAGTGGTTCATTGAAAACTTAAAAAAAAAAAAAAA